TTAAATTCTTAGAAACACAGGGATATTTCTAAAGGCCTTTGGTTGTTTAAGGACTGTGATTTGATTATCATAGAATTTTTAATAAAAATGAAAGAAGTCAGCAATTAAGACTTAAATTATTGTTCACTTTCCTTTTTTTTTCTTTTGACCATGACCTTATCTGTGACTTTAATAGCCAATTTGTAATCTTGCTTTTTTTTTTACATGTAGTTCACTAGTCCAGTAATCCTTATACAAACATTAAGTTAATCAACCTTTTACTTTGGTTTTTTCATGCCATTGTTTTGCTAAAAAACTGAAGTTGAGAAAAGAGTACTTAAAAACTTTTTTTCAGCTTTAATAAAAAAATTAAGTGATGTGGTATGATTGCCAATGAGATAACTATCCACCAAATGGCTTTGATGTAAGAAACTACTATATCACTTATACATTTCAATTTTCTCCCCCTGATAAAAGTACTAACAGGCTAGTTACTGTTAAAGGTCTGACAATTTGTGATAGAATATAGGCCAAGACAGGCTATCTGGACAGTGCGTCATTATTTGTTGTTCGTCTTTGTATGTTTGTTTTCTTGTTGAGATTGGTTTGTCTGTTGTTATGTCCACTATTTTTCATAATTACTGCTCTATTTTTCAAGAAGGTTTTGAAAGGAATGCTTCAGCAAAATATTTGCTTCAGTATTTTCTTTTAATCAATGTTTTCAACTTCTTGGTCAATCAGTACTTTTGCAAGTGTTAAATGGTGTAACTTAGTGACCTATTTTCATTTTCTTGGTCAATCAGGACTTTTGCAAGTATTAAATGGTGTAACTGACCTATTTTCATTTCTTCGTCAATCAGTACTTTTGCAAGTGTTAAATGGGTGTAACTGTGACCTATTTTAAACTTCTTGGTCTATATTTACCATCAATAATTTTACTATCATCAGGAGCTAGCTATAGTGTTTGTTTGTTAAATGCATGATTCCTATTTTGTATATGAAGATCCAAGATATGCACCTAGTTTACAGTTGAACTTGAATACATATACATATCCAGATATGGTGACTAATTTTTGCACCTTTTGTTTGCGGTATACCATCTTTTCCGCAAGTTTATTGTTTTCTGTTTGATATCAAATTAATATTAAAGATCCATTTTGTTACATCTGGTGATCATTTTATTTGGCAATCGCCAATGGCAGTCAGCAGGGTTTAAGAACATCTGTTGTTTGACCGGCTAGTCAAATGTGTTTTGTTAAAATATACTTTGTCACTTTTTTGGTCTTTTGGAAAAGTTGTTTGTGCTGTATTTAGACCCCTTTACCAAGTAATTTGTTTTGCATACACACGCATAAAAATTGCAGTTTTTAACCAACGCAATCATAGGTTTGACATTGTTTTCAATTTTGACTGGTATATAAATATGCATGTATGTATTCAGTCTTCAAACAAGAGTGCACACGCTTAAATGTCTCACCTGCTTTACTGACCATTGATTTTATGTTGAAAGTCTTAAAAAGATAAAAGTTTTACTAAAAGCATTACTGAAACTTAACATTTTTAAAGATCTATGACAATGAGGTCAAGGTCAGATAAATCTTGTCAGACAGACATATATACACCTTATCCCTGACAATTTTTTTATACACCAAAAATAGTTGACCTACTGCTATTAGTATTTGAAAAACAGACCTTGACCATTGGACCATAAAAATGAGGTCAAGGTCAGATGATACCTGCCAGACAGACATGTTCACCTTACAATCATTTCATACACCAAATATAGTTGACCTATTGCTTATAGTACTTGAAAAACAGACAAAAATACAAAAACTTAACATTGACCAATGAAGCATGAAAATGAGGTCAAGGTCAGATGATCCCTGCCAGACTGACATGTACCCATTACAATCCTTCAATACACCAAATATAGTTGACCAATTGCTTATAGTACTTGAAAAACAGACCAAAACACAAAAAACTTAACATTGACCAATGAACCCTGAAAATGAGGTCAAGGTCAGATGAAACCTGCCAGACATTACAATCATTCAATACACCTAATATAGTTATCCTACTGCTTATAGTATTTGAGAAACGGACCTAATCACGTAACTTTGAACCTTGATCACTGATCCATTAAATGAGATCGAGGTCAAGTGAACTCTGTCTGACGGACATGCAGACATTGCAAGGAACCCATATACCAAATATAGTTATCCTATAACTCATAATAAGTGAGAAATTCACATGACAAAAAAACTCAAATTTTTTGTCAAGCGCTGAACCATGAAAATGAGGTCAAGGACAATGGACATATGATTGACAGAAACTTCGTAACATAAGGTATCTGCATACAAGATATGAAGCATCCAGGTCTTCTCCCTTCTGAAATAGAAAGCTTTATACAAATAGTTTAGGCCGTTGCCGGATAGTAATACCTATGCCTTGCATACTGCGATTTCGTCACAGGCGAGACAAAAAACCTGTTTTACTTGTAAACAACAGCTCAAAATCAGTCTGCCATAACATTTCATTAAATTTGGCTTGTGAGGCCTTTTTTCCAGTTGACTGGCCTTGAGTAGAGCTTGTTGTTATTTGTGAAAACTACATGCATTGAATATCATGACATTTTCTGTACTCTCTCTTAGGGTATTGTTTTACTTTGTTGCCATAAACATCTGTTATGCCAGTTTGGTATCTGGCAGTATAAATTTATTAAAACTGTAAAAGGCATTATACACATAAATGGCAATTTTTTTCAATCTTGTTTTTCTAATGACTTTGTACCTTAAATTAAAAATTACGTCAAAAGTACATTTTGTAATTTTAGTTCCTAGATAATAAAGTTAAACCCCAAAGGTGATGTCAAACAAGTCGACTCGCCTTCAGACTCAGACATTGGGAAGATTTATCAATTATCTATATTGATCTCTGTACTGTCAAGACAATTAAATCAGTAGACACACACCTTCAACATATTCTATCTTTAGAATACCAATGACTATATGAAGTAGCAAATTCATCCTTTAAGCTTATCTAGCTATTGAATCTCTGTATGACTATAGAAAGAGGCCAACCTTAATCAGTGGCGGATCCAGAACTTTTCATAATTAAGGGGGGCCCGCTGACTGACCTAAGGGGGGCCCGCTCCAGTCAAGCTTCAGTGATTCCCTATATAATCAACCAAATTTTTCCCACAAAAGGGGGGCGTGGGCCCCCCTGGATCCGCCTATGTTAATCAACAAATCTTACTAATAATTAATATGATTGGACTAATTCAAATGGACTTTCTTAAAATGTGACAGTTTTGTCTCTATGAATTAAAAAATAAAACTCAAGAATTTGAAGAAAAGCACAAATGATGACTGAGGTACACTATAGACAAGACATCAATGTGAGAAATTCAGTTTTTTTCTATAGATTTGACTGAACAAGAAGCCACCCATACCAAAAACAATATCACTAATTTTCATTTGGAAGAAAATATGTATCATGAATTGTTTCTTCGAGACATGACAATGTAACTCTATAGACAAAACTTGAATAAAAGAAATTAAAGTTTTCTACACTTGGCTGAAGAAGCCACAAATACCAAAAACAATATCACTAATTTTCATTTAGAAAAAAATATGTATTGAGATGGTCCCTTCGAGACATGACAATGTAACAATCACTAATTTCACTAATTATACCAGCAGTGTATTATTCTTACAGAATCTTAATCTGTAGGAGGTACATACATTCTACACTATGTATGAAATTTAGCATAAAGGAATTCACCTATAGATATTACAAGAAAAGGTAATACATGTACATGTAAATGTATATGCTGATCACTCCATAGATATTTCATTCAACCTTTCTGTGTAGGCTTTCACTGTGTGCTCAGATTGACATTTAGTTAGGACATAAATGGGGCAAATAGGGGGGTGGAAATATGGTAGCAAGAATACAATTCTTACCCCAATCACAGTCACCAAAATTTCTAGCAATAAAAGATTGAAAATAGGTCCAAAAAAAATAATGTATACTGCATAATAAAAGGTCATTTCATTTGTTCACCTATTTTCAATCATTCATTGCTAGAAATTTAGGTGACTGTGCCCCAACATATTTTTTCTGTTACAGGTCAAGGTTCTTTTTTGTGTGGGTGTACATGTATGATATTCCTATGATGAGTATTGCAGCTGTTAGATGATGAAGTAGACCAATCAAAATTCCAGTACATGCAGTGTCACACATTCCAGCAGATAATAACAATAATTGGTTCCGAGAGAATTTGCCTGACTTGATCGAGTTATACTGTAATTTCAGAAATTATTGCAAGTTTTTTTTTTATTAATTTGAATAATGTGACTGAGCAACTTTCGCAATAATAAGTACTTGCATTCTGATTTCTGATATATATATCTCTATATGCAGTTTTTCCTGAAATCGCAATAATTTCTGAATTTACAGTAATTCTATATTGGAAGTTCTAAGAAAATTTCTATCAGACATTTGTAAAGTCATCATGGAAACAGCCTTTCTAACCAAAATTTGTATATGGTGCTTGACATGTCACACAAATTTTGAGACCTCTGAATTGTGGTATTGTCCAAAATGACAGATGGTGTACATGCATGTAGTACCATGTACATCCACAGATCTATATCATAGTAAACTGCCCATTGTATTGTTAAACACTGAAATAAGTTTCTTGTAGTTACATGCTAAATGTACTTCATATTTTTGCTTGTTCGTTTGCGATAACTTGTATAGTATAATTATGGGGTTTTCTCATTGTTGAAGGCCATAGGACGACCTACAATTGCACATATCCATGTCATCTGGACTCTGATGGATAGTTGTCTCATTGGCAATCATACCACATCTCCTTTTTTTACAGGATACCCAGTGTGAAACTGGAAACAGGCATGTTGGAAGGTTACCTATTAAAGGTAAAACCATCTTATGCAATACAAGAACATTGAACAATTAACAATGTTACCATATTGGCAACTCAATAGAAAAAAAAAAAGTTTTCAAAAATATTTTATTTCTGGAATTCTGTGTTTATACAGATAATCATCCAGCAATGAAATTAAAATTTTGATATAACTTGTAGTTTTAACAATAATATATATTTTATATAGGGACACTGCTTGCCTCTCAACTTTCATGGTAGAATATTTATATAACAACATTTGTGCATTTATCACAAAAATAGAGAAAAAAAATCTTGTAAATACAAAAATATACAGAAGCTGTACAATAAACTTTGGCATCCATATCATACAATAACCAATCACGATCTAACTGCCTTAACATGGCTGCAGTGTTACATTGAAATAATGCTTAATAAAAACCAGAGGAATAGGGCAAAAAAATGTATTACACTGCATCTAAAAATACCATTGAGAGTGCATTATCTGAACCAAGAATATACTTGTTGCCACTCTTGACTTTTTTGCAGCAAGTTTGAAACACAATATTGTATGAAATTGATTAGTTGTCTATTCAGTAACCTGAAATTTAACTGGAGTATTTGTGTGAATTCATTTCTGCACACCTTAGAAACCTTAAAAGTACAACTTGCACAAAATGCACTTTCTCAATGGTATATTTAAACACTGAGTAAATTGTGCCACTTTTCTTATTTAACTGTGATGGGGAGAAGTTTTAACATTCTATGATATACATGATATAATACAGATCATTTTATTACAATATATTGACAGGTTTGTGCAAGTCAACAGAATACTGACCAAACTTCTCCCTAGCACACTTTCTACATTTATTAGAACCCTGGCTTATGAAATGAAAATGATTTGGATTCACTGACGGAATTTTTCTAAACAAAAATGTAGATTCAGATGAAATTTTCTTGGATTTCTCTTTAATGATGAATGAAATACCAAGAAAAATGACAATAATATGACATAATCATATTATAGATTTATCAGACATGGCAGGCTCAAAAATCTTTTTCCTTCTAGAATATGAGACAGAATCAACATGATCAATAATGACATTAGAAAAGGACAAATTCTGCAAAATCACTGATTAACATCTGTTTATAAATTTTATTGGTTTGCTCAATTAATGCAAATTATCATAGGCTATTATGTAACCTCCAACATTTCTGGTTTACTTCATTTATCCGGAAAAGAGGGCAAAGGTGACCGGATGGTACACCTTTGAAAGCAACACTGAATGTAATCACAAAATTGTGTGTTTTAAATAAAAAAAACAAAAAAACAAAAAGGGAGGATAAATGATTCCTATTAAAGATTTTTTTCAGTGTTACTTACAGTTTAATTTAAATTTTAATACATGTGTGCTTTTTTTTATTAAAAGTTAACATGAACCAGAACGAAAGTATATATATATATGAGAAAGGCTTTCCATTTTGCCACAATTGGAGCTCACACCTTGTCCAGAGATGAAAGTATATTTGTTAGGCTCTCTTAAACCATAATTGGAGATGACACCTTGTACAATATAATTGAAGACTAGAAATTGTTGATGCATTTTGTAAGACAGTGATACATGATAACGAAATTCTATTCAAACCCTTTGGTGAAACATGCTGCCTTTTTACGCTTACTTGTGTGCATGGGTATGAATCTAATCTTACTTGACAAGATCTTAGAACAGACAACCTTGGAATACATTCTGATTAAAAGTACGATAATATTTTTCAATAAAATTTCAGAAAAAACAGAGTGTTGTAATCCTTTAAGGTCAAGTGGTGATCATGAAATAAAAAAGCTTCCCATCTGAAAAGGTCAGCAACCTAGGGACCCTTAACGCATTTCATGAATATGAACAACAAAACTATTTAGGCTGGTAATATATTCTAAGGTGTGAAAACAATGAATCTATTACAAATGTACATGTAACAAGCTGTCACAACTTCATCAATAAGTTGTTAATGTATAATCCCTATATAATCATGGGCCCAAAGAGCAGAAAAACTTCATGGTCACAGACGATTTATTCATGAATAAATTCAAAACGTCTGAGAGTTTTTATAACCCATATAGTACAAGCTTAGTGATGAAAATCTTAAGGAATAGCAAATTTGTATTTTACAAAGTATAATGAAAACCAAGGGCAAAGGGCAATATTGATGGAACAATGTGAGCAAGGCTAATCTGTTGGAACCCAAAAGTACTAAGTGAATTTTTAAATCAATTCCATCAATCATTATCTTTTACAATCAATTTTCAAAAATTGTTTCCCTTGGCACAAAAGAAAAGGTTATTCCCAGTTTTTCTTTTAAAAAATGTACATGAAAGACTCCCCCAGCCCACGTTAGATTTAAAGTCCATTCATAATCAAAGTGCTGGTAAATGGTAAGGAGCACCAGTCAAAGAAAAATGTGGAGAAATCATTTTTTCTGGTGTATCTATTACACTGCACTGTGTTGATGAAATAATAACATCATGTGGAATCAATTATCTACATATATCTCTGATGAATAATTACAAGTGTGTACATGTAATTGACATAATTCATAATTAACTCTATGTTTGCCATGTTACACAAAAAGTGTGGATACACATACATGTTACTATCAAATTCAGAAAGAATGATTCATTTTCTATCCAAGCAAATTAACCAGTGAAAAAGTTGCTTAAAATAAACCAGCTTCCTGGCTACATATAAGCAGTAAAAAAATCCTTTGCCCTGGCTAAATATATAAATTCATTTACAAAGCAACTGCAGGCAACTCAGATTTCATCAAGGCTTTATATGATATCTAGATTTTGGGGCATATATTGTAAAACTGGGATCAATGTTATTCTATTTACATAAGATAACAAATGGAACTAAATTAGGCCTTGTACTCAGGGGCGGATCCAGCCATTTATAAAAGGGGGGGTTCCTAACCCAGAATAAAGGGGGGGGTTCCAACTATATCTCCCCATTCAAATGCATTGATCGTCCAAAAAGTGGGGGGGGGGGGGGTTCCAGCCCCCGGAACCCACCCCCCTCCTTGGATCCTCCACTGGTACTTGACAGGTTTGGATATTTTAGGTTCTTAATTAACCACAATGCATTGCGAAATATGTGAAAAAAATAACAGGTCTGAAATAATTTTTTCAAAGGTTATCATCAGAAAAATAGAACATTAGCATGCATAAGCATGCGGCAAAATTGGCAAAATTTCAAAAATATAAACTAGCATGGACCAGCTGTTACCAGGTGCACTATACGCTCTGACACAGGTCTTGTTAAACTGTTTAAAGTACAAAGTATTGGAACTACATGTATTTATAATCCGCATCAAATTTTTAATATTTTATGATCTTAAACTACAATGCTTGATAATCCACCTGTAAAAATATTAATTTATGCCTCCAATTGTAAATCTAAATGGATTTACTTGTAGGACAATTTACATTAAATTCCAAGGTTGTCTATTAAAAACTTTAAATTGGATGGGAGCCACATTTGCTTACCAGTGTCACTGTTATTTTAATACTGATTAAAACTTTCTTCAGGTAAATTTAAATGGGCCATGAACATAACTTGTAAAATGTTATTAGAGATTACAAAATCTAGTAGCTATCATGCTGTATTATAAAATTTATTATACCAAAATTTTAAACCTACTAGAAACATTAAGTCAACTGAATTTAAGAAAATTTCTTCATATACATGTATGTGTATATATCATGTATTATGATGTAGGATATATTTTCTTGATCATCTAAATTTTGTTTTTTAAACTCACACATTTGGATCAGACCCTTTTTTCTTAAAACTTATAAAGTTAACAAATATTGTACTAATAAAATAATTTCAAATTTACATCATTTAACTTTTTTTTAAAATGTATTATCAACATGATCAATGACTTATGAAGGTTTTAAATTGACCTACACTTAATTTTTACTTTTTCAATGCCATGTATGGAAATTGAGATGAAATTGAAATCTTGATTTAGTTTCAGTACCATAATGCTGTTAAAGCAACACTTTCTAAAAATAAAAAAAAAGCTGCATGCAAAATTCCATTTGTCATCAAGATACATGTAGATTTAGAACATGCACTTGTTCAGTACATTTATATCTTCAATAAGGGACAATTGTTGACTCAAAACAAAATTTACAAAGATATCTGACCAGAAAAACTTTTGGAAATAAAAATTAAAAAAAAGCTGCATGCAAAATTCCATTTGTCATCTAGTAGAATTATACATGTAGATTTAGTATGTGTACTTGTTCAGTACATTTATATCTTCAATAAGGGACAATTGTTGACTCAAAACAAACTTTACAAAGATATCTGACCAGAAAAACTTTTGAAGATAAAAAAAATGTACAGGTAACATCGACATGTTGTTCCCAAGGCAGTTTAGACTGACAAGGTGTTTCATTCACTATAATCCATCACTATAAATGACACAAACGTCCTGGAAGCCTCATAAAGAAGCTACAAATACACCATCAATTCTATCAGTACTCTTTATATATTCTTTGAACTCTCATAGGCCAGTGCATTCATGCCTTTGTCATGCTTTTTTTACCAAATACTGTAATTCATATCCATAGACCGTAGTAATGAGGTTTGGGTTAATCAACAATATTTATTATTTCCTGATGAATGTGAAACTTTGAAGCCTAAAGTTTATGCAGCATAAAAAAAAAAAGAGAACTTCAAAAGAACAAAATGAATGGTATAAAATCACCTTTAGTATGGTCTTTTAAAAGTTTGAAGCCTAAAGTTTATGCAGCATAAAAAAAAAATAACTTCAAAAGAACAAAATGAATGGTATAAAATCACCTTTAGTATGGTCTACTAAAAAGTTCAATGTCAAATTACATGGTAATAAATTTGATTCCATTTAATAAGATTTTGTTATGACGGCTTTGAAACTATCAGTACATACATGTATCTTTATTTTTATGCTTAAAGGTGGCCTGACATATCTTTTAAAGCTCTAGAACCAACCTCAATATTTGAAAAGACATTCAAACCAACTAACCATGACTGCTATTTATATTTATATATTCAATTAAACCAAAATAATCAAGTCAGCATTTTTCAAAATCTTAAATCTCATAATCTTTCAAAATTCCTACACCTACATGTAAATCATGAACATGGCAAGTTGCAACTTAAGAGATGAATGTGTGCATTCTTTTGTGGTCAAAGTCCAAATAAATTAGGAGATTCTGCCATACAGGGTCATGTAGACTTTATTGAAATATAAATAAAGTATGATGAGAGAATTGATGATGTATTCCTTGGTTAGTACAATGCACAAGTCTATGCAACAGACAAAAAATAATTCAACAAAGAAAAAGATCATGATCTATATAGGATATCAACAATTATAATACATTTAACACAGCAAAAAACACTGCTTGTAATATATTGCAACAAGATACCAATAAAATATCACAGTTTGCATAAATTCAATGAAAATACATAATGATCAATGATTTGTTTATTAATCTTTACACCTGGTAACACTTTGGTCTAATCTCTTACTCCAATCTTACACTGTAAGACTTTAAAGGTGTTATTCTTTTGAGGTAAAGATTTAATTCATGTAACTAAAAATTTATTTAGTTAAATAATATTGAATCCATGTAAAGATTTCTTAACCACAATTTTATGCAATCAAGGGTATCTTTATATAATACAAATGTACATAGGTATGCACTGAATGTTTGCACTGTGAATGTACTACTAAAATTTAATTACCAATTTTAAAGAGTTCTTATTATATTCTCAATTATGTCATGTTTATTGGAACGAGAAACTACTTCATTTTTCATATTAAAATTTGCTAATTTTTTTTTAAGATGCAGCATCATAGAATTTTGAACATATATTTATAAATGTCTTTATGGCTTTCATATATCTTTATTTCAATTATCATAAGTTTTCATTTATTGTACGTAAATTATCACTTGTTGTCATAATGTTCATTTCTACAACTTTTTTGGCCAAGGATAAAAATCAATTTTCCAATTTTTGAAGGACTGTCATGATCAGAGCTAATATTTCTTGGTGGTATCATTTTATGTGTTTTTCAACTAACTCTTGTCCTAGAACTATTCCATTTTGTTTTACTGTCAATGACTGTAAAAAGGCAACATATTTTATTGCTAAAGACAGCACCAGAAAATCTTAAATGTATATATATATATATTTATATTATTTACAAAGTAAAGATCTTTTACCAAAGAAAACTTCTTGAGGGATAACATGTACATACATTGTATCTATTACATACATGTACAAGATGGTTTCACCAACACAAACACAAAGTACGTTCCATGAAGTATATTACATCTTAGATCCCTCCTTTATACTAACAACATCATCAGTCTGGCACTGTTCACATAATTTACAAAATATACAATATTTGTATATGGTCCCTCTCTTTTTTCTTTTTAATTTCTTCCATTTTTACAATTTTTTTACTGAAAATGAGACATACCCTTATTTTTTTTTAAATGACACATGTGTGTATTTTTATTATTTTATTTTTGGTATGTTTGATGTTTGTACACTGACAATCATGTCATACATGAAGATGACACCTGAAGCATCCTTGAGATTTAAAAAAAAAGCAATTTATTGTAAACATTGTACATATACATGTACCACATTAATTATAACTGTAAATAATAAAAATATACATGTAATTACTTAATAAACAAGTCAATAAAATTCTTTTGCTGTAGTTGACCAATTTCAGCCAAACTTCCAAATTTGAGCGAAAAATTACACATATACATAGATGTACTTAATATAATAATACAAAGACATTAACAAGAATGTCACAATATGACAAATAAATGAAAGACTACATGTACATGGATGCAACATTTAATGTTTGCTACACCAAATCTGTCATATCATTCACCACTAAATCTCATTTTCACATCAAATACACAAAAAAAATCTTTATCTTGTTCTCTGACACAAACTTGTACTCATCCACAAAAAAATCTATGACATCCAATTAATATTTTTTGCAGTTATTTGTTTTTTTTCATTCACCTTTCGTTTCTTCATACAATTTACATATTTTTGACTTAATAATAAATCTTTCAGACCAAACTAATCAATTAATCCACATTGAAATTCTAAAGGTGTGTATGATCCTTTGCAAATATTTTTGTAGTTTAATACATCCTTTCGAATTAAATGTCTACAAACAATCTCCATTCGTCACGAAACATTCCAAATTCACTATGAGCACTGTAGAAACGAAGATGGACAAAGAGGACAGTTTGACGATCCATTCACTTGATACACATTTGGAAAATAACTGTAATACTGGCACCCATCAGAATTTAGAGGACTATGAAAGTACACTTGGTCAATTGTTAGATTGCTCAGTTGGTCGAAATGTTGCATTTCAAGGTATTTTGCATGTGCTTTTCTCTCCTGTTCCATAAGAACTTCACAGGCAAGTTGGTGGATGAGATTTAGAGTCTGCCTGCGTTCATGTCCCATCAAACATATGGTACTTTCATCGACGACTCGATAAAGCGTCAGTAGATATTCATGTTTCAAATTTTCTTCACCACTAAAATGATTATTTAGATAGGACTCAAGCTTCTGTCTCTGCTGATTTAAATCACTGAAATCGATGAAAAACCGAGAACACATGTACTTTTCCATTGCTTGACAGTTCACATTTTCAGCTGGGGTATAGCTCCGCACCAATAAATTGCAATACTTTAAAAGACCACCTCCCCTTATTTCTTCAGGATTACGGGTTGCTATCTGTTTCTTGTTTAAATGAACCCAAGCTTCTGAAAAGTCACCGTATACACTTTCTGCAACTAGAGTGGGATAGAAGTGTTCGCTCATGGGCGCGGACGAAATCTCATAGAAAGTTAATAAACTATCCAAAATGATCTGAAATGAGTCCACACTGAATTCAAACTGCCTTTTCATAGCATCAACAAATTTTAACTCCACATTTTTACCCTTGTTGTTGGAAAGTGAAATTAAACTCCATCTATCACCTCGTTCATTACATACTTTCACCATTTTCTGAACATATGCTTCCTTCAAACTGCAACTGCTCATTTTTTCTTTGTTAACTCCGTCTGGCAAATAATCCAAGAGACAACCAAGAACGCAATTTTTTATCTTCTGAAGCTCGTTATGATTTGTTAGATCCACACCGAAAATCAAATCCAAGTCATTGTAAGATTTCACGGTTTCGGTACCAAAAATGTAACTTGCTGCACCTCCGTTCAACCTAATGTCTTTAATCGTTACTCCTTCTTTTAGAAGTTTTTCTCTTACTGCTTTAACCAAATCCTTCAGCTTAATATCCAAAGTTGGAAAATTTCCCCGTCCGTGGATTGGAATCGCATCCTCCATAACTTCGTGCAACCGCAAAACTTGTTCATAACACAAAACCTGAAAACGGTTTTCACAACCCATTTTCAAGTGTCACTTTATAATTTCCAACTGAAAACAAAAAATGTTAAATGTAACTTGGATTCGTGGTAAAATGTGAAATGTATGTTCTTACCGAGATTCCCTTCTTTCCCACTGATTGTGTAAGTCAAACTGCAAGTTTAGCAGAATACACACGATTGTCAGACGAACTTTATGATATTCATACGCCAGTGGAAAAAGTTAACAGATTGCTTATGAAAATTAGACTCCAAAGGAAATTTTGATTATTTTGAAAATTATATTTCAAACCATTTGTGGGGTTTACGTAAATAACTAACCTAAACTGCTTTAAAATTTGACTCTGAATTGATCTTTCACACGAGAACTTTTTTATTTATCGGATGTCTATGGAAAATCCTATAAGTTTATCGTTTGTGTATTTATAGAGCATTACACTGATTGGTCGATAAATATGTGTATTGACAATTGAAAACCCCGGTCACGGAGATTTCCGTACCCGGAAAGTTCCGGAAAATTATTGGGTGTTTTGTTATGAAATATTGAAACCTTTGTACACATATAACATATATTATTCACTTAAAAAAACTGATTACAAAAATAGTTAAATTCACATACCTAAGTACTTTTGACCAGGAAATTCTCGCTATGTTGTATACCTAAAAGATAACAAAAATCATAAAATAAAACGGAAGATTCTTTTTTAAAGTTCTGTATATAGATTTATACATAATACAATACTTTAAATGTTCTCCAATGCATTAAATAAGATGCAATTTTATCCAATCTACATGACTTTCGTATTTGTATATATCTATTGTAAACATTTATTTGACAGTATCTAAGGAAATCAGAGACTTCCGACTGAAAAGTGAATAAATGAACAAAGTTTTTCAAGACCCTTTTATTTGATAAATTAGATTGAAATGTAATCATGAAACTATGCCATGATATTATAAGAAAACTTCAACAACTTAGCGTTTTGTTATGAATTTTCCCGACGGAAAAGTTTGTATGTGCCAAACATGTTAAAGGCAATTACTTGCAATTGAAACTCCATACCATTATATGCAGTAATGAAAAAGCAACGAACTAAGATATGACTGCATAGTTTATACTATTTCAACATATAATTCGATATACATGTATAAAGTGCTTGCTCTAACTAAAAAAAAAAAAAAATTTACCTTCAGCAATTTGGTAACACCAGCTGTTGAAAATGCTTGCTTTCAGACAGAAACAGGCCGGTCTTCTGTCATTCATAGAAAATTGTATCAATGAATACTGATCAGTGAATTTTCTCCTACGCAAAATATTCAATTTTCGATCGATCAATAATCTCTTGTACGTCATACAACTGATGCTGATGTTAGATTCCCTTATTTGGAAAAATCTATGAATGAAAATAACTTTTGTACTAACAGGCTAGAATCCAATTGGAGAAACGATTCAATTATCGTAGCCATATTCTTAGATCCATTGACACTACCATAGTGATTTTCCCAAGACTTCAAAGTGGTTCGTAGTTAAATATAGGATTTAATAAATCCCAAGATAATTACTTCACTGTGTAGTATTTTAAATTGATTTTTCCTTAGTATTGGGTATTTCATGAACTAATATTACAAACGATAACGTTTGGGAATAATAACACTTCCGCTACTATAACTTTTATTTAATTTTGAAACGACATGTAATATCCATTCCGTCCAGTAAAAATATTCGGCTAATGACCAATTTATTACATCTTTTCAAGTTTCGCCAGGTAAATTAATTTGGTCAAAGGGGGATAATTCAAGCTGATTTTCGACTAAAAGACAATAACCATATATAAGAAAGAAAACTTTCGTTTCCAATATAAGAATCATGTATAATGATTAGCACATTTCATATTAAAAATATAGGTAATGCAAATGAAAACAGTACAAATATTGGTATATAAAATTAGTTAATTGTAGTACTGTATTTATATAGAAGTCTTATCATTTATCATCAAAAAGTTCAGTTTTTGGCAAATAAACAAGAAAAAAACTTAATAGCACAGCGATTTATATTGTCGTACAAAAGCTGTGATAAGGTATCAATTTAATGACAGAAAAATAGGCGTAATTTAGATTTCAATCCAAATTCATAAGTATGAAACATCTTCTGAAAGTGTTACTGCATCGGGTAAATTTAAGATACTGGCACCATTCTAATTGCTCTTTTAAGAACAAGAGAAAAGATAAAATCATTATCTATTACTTCTATGTAAGTTAGATATAGTCGTCTCATATCTTCGTGGTTGAAACCACTCAGACATACAAAGAATCATCTGATATCTAGTACATATACTTTTAAAATTAGTCAATTGACACCTCTTCCAAAACATAAATTTTAACTTTGAGTGCCCGAGTCCATTTTAAATGTTCTGGTTCATTCTTGATGGCTTAAAATGAATTGTATCAAAAAGTATTTAAAGACTAATATAAGCTTTACATGTAAATAATTCTTTGCTGAACCAGTTTTCATGTGTTTCACCATTACCTCAAACTAATTCTCTTTTATATATAGTTATGAAGTCCGGAGTACTCTCAATCCATTTACAGCGCGTTTTTCCAATGGCATTCTTGTCTCCACGCGGTTGATTTTAACCTATCATATTCCTAGAAATGTATAGGAGGTAAGATAAAAAATTATGTAAGCGTATTCCCGGAACTCATTTATTTAAAGTGCAGTAATGTGGTGAGGTTTTCCAGAACTTGGGCGGAACTTTAAGAAATTGGAGCTTGAGAGTGTTATAATTTACAGTAATATGACATTTGTGTTAATCTTGTTATTGCGATCATTTTTGAAGCTTAAAATGTATGTTTATCGATAATCATTTTTCAAAATATTAAGCAAAAAGCTTAAACTGGTCAGAAATCGTCATTTGAGAACAAAAACTCTGTTAAGAAGTCAATTTATAGTTTCAGTCGTATTGCCATTTTTCTAACATTTGTCAGATATCGTCGTTATAAAACAGCAAAACCAATACGATTGAACGATTGACAAGTGTTTAACGCCATTTTCACTGGCACTGTTGGCTATGTCGTGGAGACCAGTTTTTATTGATGGAGGAGGCCGGAGTAGGAAAACGGACAATCCTAGTCAAGTAGTCAATTATATATATATAAGATTGGAGTCGAACGAACCAGCCACGTGTGGGACTCGAACTCACAACCTCATTGTTGACAGTAGTTCATCTACTTAGACCACTTGGCAAACGAAATCCACAATAGGAAGAGGAAGCAATATTATTATAATAAGTTGTCCTTTCTTGAGTAAATTACAGGTTGATTTACAAGGTAACCGATTCTAATCTACTATGGTAATCATCCCCTTGTTCAGTACCTAAAAAAATACTTATCCGTTAGTAAGTACTTTAGAATGTCTCAGCGGCACTTTTGTATCTTTAACACTGTTAATTCTTGCTTTAAAATTTGTTTATACATTGTATTGGTATTATGAAAGTCAATTGAGATGTAATTTGAAACCATACTGTTCTATTACATATACATGTAAACTGAATAAAAAAAGAAAGGAATCATCATGGTATATTTCCAATGCAACTACATAAAGGTTTCATACATGAATTATTTTCTTGAAATCAAGTTCATATAGATTGCAGCTGTACATTGAATAATTACATTAGATGTATGTTTCATTATTATACTTTATTTTGATTGGCTAACAGCAATCTCGCGTCATTCTTCATTTCAAAAATGAATTGCATGAATTGAAACATACATGATGACATCCGTTTCCACAATAAAGTGCACAGGTAAATAAAAGAAAACTTGATAGTAATCGTCTTTTCATGATCACAGCGAAACATGTAATTATAAGTATTGAATGCTTCTTTTAGTAATTTCATAGGGTTGTAAAAGCGTTGACCGTGCGTACATTTTTAGAATGAAGCGATTCCGCTTCATACAAAATGTACTTCGGTCAACGCTTTTACACCCCAATGAATTTACAAAGAGAAGCATTCAATTCTTAATTGAAGATAACTCAATGCAATATATCATATGAAATCGACACTGTATGTGTTGTCATTTAATGGGAAATTGCTGATTTTTAGATATGATTTGTGTCCCAAGAATTTGATCTTGTGTGAAAGAACTCCATTTAATACTGATTCTGAAAACAAAAGGTGAAAATGATAAAGATGGATAAAACAAATTCTCCATTTCAGGGTTATATGTCTTATAATACTCAAGTATTTTCAGTAAAATGACATTTCACTGAAGGTATATGGATGACCGTTCTTACTGCTTACGATTTCTGCCCACCTATAGCGATTATAACAAGATTATAGACTGAAATGCTAAATTGGTCAGAAATCATCTAGTAAGGATAATAATTCTTATATATATTAAAGGAGTCAATTGATGGCTTCAGTCTTATTGGCATTTCTATAGATTTCTTATTGCTAGTGGTATTTTCTTATAGTTTGTATAGATTTTAAGTTGATAAGCAGGAATACTAGAATTGAAAAAAAATATTCATTTAAGGACAATCACTTCGTAGACATCGATCATTAAAAGTGGTGTTCTATGTAAAAAAAATCCCGACAAAACATCCGGAATGTATAGCGTACGTAACGTCATCCCGTTGTTATTCGTAAAGCAACAATTTTTGACGTTTTTCACTACCAACTAGATGGTGGTGGTGGTGTTGGTTTGGGGGGGGGGGGGGTCCTACATTTCTATATTCTTTAATTTTTCAGGTAATTTTTATTTATTCTTTATATTCTAGCATCCTCTTCTTCTTTTTTGTTTATTTTTTATCCTATATTTCTCTATTCTTTATTTTTTAGTGTTGATTTTTCTATACAATTATTCCATTATTCTCTATTCTGTAAACCCCATCCAGACCCTAATAATTGATCTATCATGGACTATCCTTATTTAAGTACAAGATAAATAAATCGTAGGAAAACATAAATATTTTATTGTAAAAATACCACTGAAAGTTAAACCTAATTAGATGATTGTAGTCTACAGGTAGATGGAACGGAATTCTGTAATATTGTCTGTAAAAACATACCAAAGGGAGAGTCTAAACTAAGAGATCGAAGACAGACTGGCCGTGAAAACCATCTGTAATTCGCCGTTTTAAAATCGAATGCGCTTTGGGTAATATTTTCAAAAACGTACATTAAAACGTTGTGAATGGTTAAAAACGCCCTATAAAACAATGAAAATTGAACCAATGTTGTGACGTTATTTTCGTTTTGGGGTACGGACAATTAAATTACACATAGTCCTTTTGATTCTGAAACGGTGAATTAATTGGTAAGCAGGGTTTCAAGAGAAAGCTAACTCAATCGAACATTTGAAGCTATACTTGAGAACCAAGTCTTGATCATTTTTTAGATAATGAATTATGAACGTGTGTAACTCTTTGAACATTAACAATGTTTATTTGTTATTAATACAAAGACTGCATGCCAAAGTAAAATTTAATATTCCATCACTTTACGGAGAGAAATATTTTTCGTTGTGGCAATCGACATTTTATATTCAAAAAGCACATCCGTATTTTTCAAATGATATATTTATTTAACGATCTGTGACCTATGCAAAAGAAAAAACAAAAACAAACAATAACAAATACAATCGAAAAAACAAACAAACAAAAAGGAATAAAAACGTAATCAGCTTAATTAAACCCAACGAAAACAACAGCGTATTAATATTGTTATCCAATTTACAACTAAGGGATTGGAAAAGTCGTGGGCGATGTTAATTTGAAAAGTAACCGTCCGCAGCATGTCTATCTTATTCCAGTTTAAAGCTATTATTACTGCTAATATTGATTTAGCGTTGATTTTTATGGCTATGAAGCCATTTCATACAGAAGACACTGCTATTAATATAACAAAATTTTAGTTCATATGACTTTTTATAAACATTTCTTTTCACATAAATCATATAGTCTTTTCAAATGGCTATCCCATAAGGCAAATAAAAATAATTAATTCGTTTATTCTATTTCAGTTTAGTTCTGCTTTATCCGGTCTGAAATATTGATATCATACCATCAGTGACGGATTTAAATTATGCTTATAACGTCAAAAAGGGGGAGACATTTTCGATTATGTATATAAATGTTCACTTATATCAACAGTGGTTGATTGTACTAAACGCATAACACATTAAAAACCAAAGATTAAAAGCTAAACCTGACCCTTTTTTATCTATTTTTTTTTTTTTTGG